GGGGGAGGGCTCTTTCTTATAGTCTCTACATTTTAGATCATTTAGATTAGTTGTAGTAGAGGTTTTACGGCACTAGCAACGGCATAAGGTCATATGAGCACCAGAAGATTAGAGGTGTTACAAGAGAGTAACAAACATAAAAAAGAAGATGGGGAGATAAAGACCTTAGATGTTCGGTAGAAAAGAAGGAGCAAACCACACCAGAGCACCTGCCAACCACCCGCTTAGATCATTTAGGAGGGTTGCTTGCGATGCTGTTTATCAGGGTCAGTCCCCAGCTGAGAGTGTCCTCCCCCCTTCTAGAATCCAGTTCGAGTTTCATGTGTGGGACAGTGAAGACACTACCTACCTAACCGTTACAAAACAAGATACCAATCCAGCATTTTCTCCCTGCGACATGTTTGCTAAGTTTCAGTGAGAGTTTAAATGGCACTTGCAGGACAATTAGGCAATTAGGTCATATAAGTGCCAAAGAGTAAAGGTGATACAAGAGAGTGTATCATACACAAAAGAAAGGAGAGATGAGAGCAATAGATATCTGATAGAAGGAAAGAAAGAGCAAACCACACCAGGGCACCCGCCAACCATCCACAGGTCACAAGGCCACGAACAAAGGGGTACAAAGAGACTTGACTCACCTGTCTAGTTTTCACCTCCAGCTGCGCCAGTGTTAAATCCTCCAGGTGAGAGAACTTGCGGTCAAAAATACACCTGTGGACCAGATCAGAGGAACGATAATCATTAATTGTTCACGTAACATTTTAATTGTATCCCCCCCCCCCCCCCCCTCTAAGTGAAATTGTAATTGTAACCTTTTGTATAATATCCTCAGCCAAGTGGGGAGTTGGGTGGTAGATCATGTTTCTTTACTTTCACTCTGTCGTTTCTGTCTGTCCGTCTTACTTTTTCCCATCATTAAATGACCATTGTGTGTTGATGTTCTTCTGTTTACTCAAACAAAGAAACAAGTCCCAATCGACACGATTTAGATCATTTTAAAGGTTGGCCTCATACATTAACACAATTTAGGTCATTTAAAAGGCTGGCTGATTCCATCCTGTATGTTAGATTCCAGTTTGGGGAGTGATGCACAAATAGCAAACATCGTAATAGACAGACAAAAGTACTCAATAAAAAAAATAAAAATGAACAACCCAATTGAGTGAGCCCTGTTATCTTAAGTACCCTCCACATCCCACTTTGCCCCTCCCACGTGGAACTTTTTTTTCCAACCTTTCAAAGTTAACCATTGCCCCCTCGACCACCCCACTCCCTCCCCCACACAAAAAACAACAACAAACAAACAAACAAAACAAACAATCTTCAACCCCCC